ATTCTGAGGACATTATCAAGAGCAGATTCAATTAATCTCAAATCGCAGACCTTTGGCTGACATGAAGCCTCCTGTTCCAACAGGGTATTCAGCTGGTATAGCAGTTTCTGGGAGCCAGTTGTTGTTAGTACTTCGATCATCTTGGTTGACTGTGGTTCCTCAGAATGACCACCCCACGCCTACAAGGCAAGGGTACTTGAGGGTGGGAGGGGAGAGGCCCAGGAAAGGAGAACTGTCCTGAGTGGAGGTTCCTACAGCACCAGCGAGACTACACTGCCCTCCTCCCAGCCAGACTGAAGCGCTCCTTCTCCCTGTGTCTCTGTGTCTGTCTCCCTCCCTTCCTCTCTCTGTCTCTCTTCATTGCACCTCTACAGCAGTGTTGTACATCTAGTATAATATTAAATAAAACCGGCGAGAGCTTTATTCCCAGTCTTAGAAGGAATATATTACTCTTTCAAGATAAGTATGATTTTACTTCTAGATTTTCTTTTTTCTCTGTTTGTCTCTCTTTCTAGATGGTGTCTCTCTAAATTGCCAGCTGGGCTCAGACTTGGGATCCTCCTGCTTCAACCTCCTAAAACGCTGGGATGTGTGCCATCACAACCAGCTCAATTAAGTTCTTCCTATTCTTAGGTTTATAACAAGTGGTTGCTGATTTTGTCAAGTGCATTTCTGTCTTAAGATAATCATATGGGTTTTTGTTGTTGTCATTACTGGGAATCAAACTCATGATCTTGCTCTTGCTAGGCAGGAACTGTGCCCCTAAGCTAGATCCTCGGCCCAATCACATGTTTTCTTAAAGTCTTTATGAATAATATGTTATACTAATTGATTCTTGGATGTTAAACCAACCCTGCAGTCCTAGAATAAATTCAACTTGGTTATGACATATAATCCTTTATGTATGTTGCTAGATATGATTTACTAGTATTTTTTTTTTAAAGATTACTGTATATTTTTTCAGGGATAAGGGCCAACAGTTTTCTATTATGATGTTTGTCTGGTTTTGGGGTCAAGGTAATACTAGTCTCAAAGAACTGAGCTGAGTAGTGTTCTCACCTCTTCTATTTTCTGGAATAGTTTGTGAAGGATTTTTATTATTTATGTAAATGATTAATACAGTTCACTAGTGAAGCCATTGGGCCCCAGCTTTTTCACTGTGAAATGAATTTTGAATTACTAATTCAATTTCTTTAATTGCTATAGGTTTGTATACCTATAGATTTTATATATATTCTTGACTCAGTTTCAGTAATTTGTGACTCTCCAGGCATTTAAATTGTCTAATTAATTGCCATACAATTCTTCATACTATTCCTTTATAGTCCTTGTAATTTCTCATCCCTTTTGTTTGTTTTTTAAAATTTATTTATTTATTTACTTTTGGTACTGGGAATTGAACACAGGACCTTGTGTTTGCCAGGCAGGTGCTGTTCTACTGAGCTACGTCACCAGCCCCTCTTTTTGTTTTTAATTATGACTGAATATTGAATTATATTCCTCAATTGAAACAATCAAATGGTTTATCCATTTTATGTTTAATGTAGTTAATTATATTAAAAGAATTTCTATTTCTAAAATAGCTTTCCATTTCTAGAATAACATCAAGGTGATTGTGATACTGATTATTATCTTGAGGATTTAATTTCCTTTTATTTAGAATATTGGCATCTACATTCATATTACAGGTTAGATTTTTATTTTTGTTTTCTAATATCACCTTTGTTAAATTTGGGTATCCAGGTAATACTAGCTTCATATCTGAGGTAAGAATTCCCTTTCACTGGAATCTAACCAGTTTAATAACATTTTAATGTTATTTGCAATATTTGTTTTTTTTTTTTTTTTTTTTTTTGAGACAGGGTCTCACTGTATTTGCAATATTTGGTAGAAGTTACTTGTAAAACTGATAGGGCTGCTCTTTTATTAGTTGATACGTTTTAAATGATTTTTTTTCATTCTTCAATGTCTACAGCAGAAGTGGTGTTCAAAATACTTAAATAACCACTATTTTGTATCAGCACTGGCCAGTCACAATAAATATGGATGGCATGCAGGAACAGAGTCTTGGAACTGCACTACAGTTTAAGGGAGATTCAGCTACTAGAACTTGGGAAGATCTTGTTTATTTATTTATTCATTTTTTCTTTTTTTGGTTTTTCTCCGGTACCGGGAACCGAACTCACGACCTTGCGCTTGCCAGGCAGGCGCTTTGCCGCTGAGCTAAATCCCCAGCCCTAACTTGGGAAGATCTTGAGGAAGGAATCTCTAAAAGAGGGGTCTGGATAGTGAGAGGGATCAGAGGATGATTCAGGGCAGTGACTATCAGGTGGTATGGAAAAGTTTAAGCTTTTAACTACTTCAGCTGAACCAATGTATAATGGTTAAACATCAGTCCTGCTAAGCAGGTCTATTTATTCTTTGGTCAGTTTTGTGAAAGTGTATGAAAAAAAGATGTGAAGTACAGTATATTGGCATAGAGCTGGTCTTAGTTTATATTTTTCATGTCTCTTTTTTATGCTTCTTTCTCTTGATAAATCTTATCAGAGAATAGCTTATGCAATTATCTTTTTTAAAGGCCACATTTAAAAAAATTCTCTTTATTATAATTTCATTAATTTTGCACTTTCATGTTTATAATTTCTACATATCTACTTTCATTGATTTTTTTTCGGGGGGGGGGTACCAGGAATTGAATTCATGACCTCAGGCTTTTCATTGAATTACAGTCTTAGTTTTCTTCTTGGTTTTTTTTCGCAAGCTCATCAATTTTCAGTCTAATTATTTCACTATGATTTCTACTTTGATACAAAAATAACTTAGGAGATAAATTTATAAGTTTCTGAACATGGGAATTTGTATTTGCAGTATTTACCTGTGCTAACTAAACTGCTCTAAATTTAAAAAAAAATGGTTTGTGTGATAACATTTCTTTAACATCATTGAGATCTATTTTGTAGGCTAATACATGCTTACTTTTTGTATCTGTTTTAAGTCTGCTTCAGAGGATATATTCACTACTTGTTGGAAGCAGAATTCTAAATATGTATAATACATCAAGTTATTAATAGCATCGCTTCTCGGCCTTTTGGCTAAGATCAAGTGAAGTTATTAATAGTATTTAAATCTTCAACAGCGTTACTCATTTTTTGTCAATATTATCTATTAGTAAATGAGAGGATGGTATTAATATTATCAACTGAGATGGGGATTTCTTACTTTTTTCATGGAATTCTGTCCACTTTTGCTTTCTTTTGGTTTTAGACTGTTTTTAGATTGCATATAAGAATTACATTCTAGTGAAAGGAGCCCTTTAATATAGTATCTTTTTACTAATAATAAATGTTGTAGTCTTAAACTTTTGTCTTCTATTAGTATGACTACAACTGTTTTCTCTGATGTATATTATCTGCTTCTCCCACCCCCAATTCTTTTACTTTCAACTTTACTTGTTTCGTATGTTTAGGTGTTCCTTACAAAAAAACATAAAGTGCTGGGCATGGTGGTGCATGCCTATAATCCCAGCACTCGGGACACTGAGGCAGGAGAATCATTGTCAGTTCGAGACCAGCCTGGGCTATAAAGTGAACTCAAGGCCAGCCTGAACTGCATAATGAGACCCTGTCTCAAAAAGACCAAAAAAACTCATAAAGTTTGGTTTTATTTTCTAATTCAATCTAACACTATCTTTTAACTGGCTAGTTTAGTGCATTTACTACAATTACTGATATTTGGATTGATGACTTATACTGGTTACACAACTACCATATTTTTGTGTTTCCTTGTTTTTTAAGTGATTCCTCCTTTCTTTTTTACTTCTACTGGATTGATTATGTTTTATTAGCTTTTTATCCTTTTACTAATTTGGAAGCTATCATTTATATTCCTACTCAAATTTTCTTTCTAAACTAAACATATTTGTATCTAAATTTTAACAGGTAGCTGGGTATGGTGACACACACCTGTAACCCCAGTACTTGGGCGGCTGAGGCAGAACTGCCCTGAGTTTGAGGCCAGCCAGGGCTACATGATGAGTTCAAGGCCAACCTGAAATACATAGCAAGACCCTGTCTCAAAATACAAAATAAAACAACAAATATATATATGTATATATAAATAATAAATATTAATAGGTATACAGTATTTGTCTAAAGATAATGGCTCTACCCTCCACTCAAACAATATGTGTGGCTAGAAATCTTTAAGAAAATTCCCATTTGCATATGACTTCTAAAAAGAGTATTTCAATTATTTTAGCATAGTTAGAAACAGGCATATTTAATTATTTCTCAAATTTCAACTCTTCAAATAATCGGTTTCTCTATAAGGAAATTAAATGACAACTGAGGCATAACTGGCATTTTACGTGGGACACCTGGTCTACTATACAAGCTGTCCTGTGTAAGCAGAATATTTAGAAACTATGGTCCCTGTCAACTAAATGTTAGTAGATATCCTCCTCTCTTTCCCCAGTTACAGCTGCCTCACACATCATTTCCAAAATATCCCCTTTGAGATCAGTAACAATCCAAATGAGCATGACTCTTTTAAGCATAAAAATAAATACAAAAATTATGAAATAAGTAGATTTGGAACTAAACGACCAGAGTAAGATATATTTTAGTTTATAAAGGAAATAGTAAAAATACTTTTCCTTAAACTCAGGAAACTAATTTTATAAAACAGTTTTCATCATTAGCTATACTACTTAGTCTTCTTTCTATGTACCTTTCTCTTATTAATTAATTAGTTATTGGGGATGAACCCGGGGCCTCAGGCATGTCAGACAAGTGCTGTATCACAGAGCTGTACCCTCAACTCCCAAATTTTTGTTGCAGTATATGACTAAGTGTGAGTAACAAAAGAGGGAATCACCTTTTGATTGTCTTTCCTAAAGCCACCTTATTTTTCTTGAGGCTAGAACAGAACATTGAATTTGTTCACCATCTTTTAAAAAATGTTTTTATTATTAATCCTAACATAGTCTGCTATTCACAAACCTGTTAGTGTCCCAAATAATGACATTTCCATCAAATCCTGATGTTACTAATAGTCTTGTATTAGTATCATATTCGATGTTCTTCACCCAGCTAGTGTGACCATGTAAAGTGCATACTTTGGTGTTCAATTTTCTCAGATCCCACAGTGCTATTGTAGTGTCATCAGAGCAGGTAGCGAACAGCCGGTTATCGAGAAATCTACAAAAGCAGAAAAGAAAAACTGATTTGTTCAATCTCTTTTAAAAAATAGATTTGAGAAACAATGTCTGCACTACCTAGCCAAGAAAGAAGAAAAAGAAGGGACTACAAACTTATTGTATGAACCCAGTGATTCTGATATAACAATGAATAGTAAGTACAATTCATATAATCACAGGGAGGTCAAGCTACTACGATTTAATGAAAGCTAGATTTTCATTTGATACCTTTCCTTTAAATTATTGATTTTTATTTGGAAATAGGAATATGTATTTTAAAGGTAGCAACAGAGGATAAGAAAAGAATTTTAGAGTTTGTTTAGGAAATAAAAATTGTGAGAGGAATTTAATGCAAAAAAAAGATTTGAAAGACTTGCTTGGTTAAGGAGGAGATGTTAGCATAAAGGGTTCTAAATAATGAGAAATATTTGCTTAGCTACCAGTTATAGCTCTTTCTACTCAGAACACATTTACATACGGACATTGTTATTTAAACTGTCATAATTTTTAATCTATCAGTTCAAATAATCTCACTTAGCAACATTTTATTAGGACCATTCAAGACAGACTTAATTAAAACACTCTGTAATTCAGGCTTTTTATCATTTTGATAAAACTCTCAGACCTTAGAGAGAATATATTTTATAAAAATATTTAAAGGAGCACTATGTGTGGTGGTGCATGCCTGCAATCCCAGCACTTGCGAGGCTGAGGCAGGAGGATCACTGTGAGTTTGAGGCTAGCCTAAGCTACATATTGAGTTCAGGGCCAGCCTGGACTGAACAGTGAGACTTTGTCTCAGATAGATAGATGATAGACAGACAGACAGACAGACAGACAGACAGGAACATAGATAACAAATTTACCACTCATACCTGAATTTCTATTTAACATCAGGATAGTTTCTCTAACATATGTTACCATATTTAATTTACTAATCTCTGCTGAAGTTTCTTATAAGACAAAATCACATATACTTCTTGTTAGAAATCAACTTCTTTTTTTTTATTTTTTATTTGTTTTCCAGTACCAGGAACTGAACTCACAACCTTGCACTTGCCAGGCAGGCGCTGTGCAGCCGAGCTAAATCCCCAGCCCCAGAAATCAACTTCAATATCCACAAACATCATCATGACCTTCAAGAAACTTATCATGGCTTTAAAAATTCCAGGCTCAAGCTGGGCATGATAGCGCATGCCTATAATCTCAGTATTTGGGAGGCTGAGGCAGGAGGATTGCTGCGAGTTCAAGGCCAGCCTGGGCTACATAGTTAGTTCAAGCAAGCCTGAACTACATAAGACCCTGTCTCAAAAAAACAAAACACACAAAAAACTAAAATTCCAGGTTCACTTTTCTCCTACCTCTTCATCTGGCTAAATCTTGCTTTCTTTTTAATACTCAAATTATGATATTTTCCAAGAAGACTTCTTCTTCTATCCAGCCTACAGTAGGTCTACCAATTCTAACTACAAAGGCACACTGTACTTCTATCAAAATACTTAATACTATAGTATAAGGAATAACTATAGAAGGCTATAAATTCCTTGATGGCAGAGGGAACCTCTCTAATTAGTTCTTGGTTATATCTGCAGTACTCAACACATACAGTGCTTGGTACACATGCATTCCACTAATATTTATTAAGTGAAGGAATGAGAGGAATTCATTACCTAGTGGAAGACATTACAAATATATAATTACATAAAATAATTGTGTGGAATAAGCAAAGGAAAAGGAGTGATTAGGAAAGACTTCATGGTATCATTTAAACTACATTATAAATGCAGAGAGGATGAGGGGTGGAAGGCAAGGTAGGGAAATGGAAAAAAACCCAAATTATATCATATACAGGTACAAATTCTCCATGATGAATATGATCCTTATGTATATCTAAAATGTACCAATAAAATCAGAGTACAAAAGAAAGAAAACAAACTGACTATAATGAGCAAGAATACCTAAGTGGTCAAGAGAGGCAAGCAGAGGAACAGTGGCATGAAAGAGAGTGCTATGTGAGAACGTAGAGACAAGTGGGGTATACACCATGGATTTATTCCACAATGGCTCCCAATAACCACATTCTAATTATGAAATATATTTCCACTGAAAACATTTTTTAAGTTGAAAAAAGTGTATCACAAAAATAAGTACCATTTCTGATGTTTAGGCTAATTTCTAAATTTTAAAGCTAGTGTTATCTCACGTATTTTGCCATGTCATTAGCCTCATCAATAAAGTAATTCTTTTCTTTCCTTTTCTTTAAGCTCTTATAGACAAGACAGCTTTTTATTTGTTTCACTGCTGGAATCTTACCCAAGGCCTTGTGCACATTAAGCACACATTCTAACACTGAGCTCCAACCCCAACCCAATAAGTCACTTTGGATGGCTGAATAGTGTTCACTGTATGAAGGAATCATAATCATTTTCTTTTTAAAACTGATATGCAATTGTTAGATGTTTGGATTATTTATATTTTTTCCATTAAAAATACTAAGATAAACACATCTTTAAACCCAAATATCAATCATATCCCAACTTATTTATTTGATTTATTTAAGTACACCCCTCCTCCCCCAAATGTATTGCTAAGTAAAAGAGGTTTTTCCTTTCTTTTCAGCTGGGGTCTCACTATTTTTCTTAAGCTGGTGTTGTATTTGCGAACTCAAGTCATCCTTCCACCTCAGCCTCCCAAGTAGCCAGGATTACAGAGGCACACCACTGAACCTAGCTGAAAAGGAATTTTTAAAAATGTAAGGGTTTTGATACAGCCAAACTGTCCTCCAAAGAACATGCCAACATACTGTTCTACCAGCAGTTAAGAAGATCTATCTTCCCAAACCCTTGCCATACAGATTTAAAAAAAAAAATTCCATTAAGTGCAAGAAAAAGTGTCATCTTGTTTTAAGATTAAAGTTTTATTTTTATTAAGGTTCAACTTTTTTCACATTTATTAGAAAATTAAATTTCTTTTATAAATTGCTCTTCATGGTCCTTGCTGATTTTACAATTAACATTTTTATTACTGAGTTGTAAAATCTCCTTATAGTAAGATAATATGTATCAGTTTTTCAAATAGTGTTTCATGTATACTTTTACCTTTAATGTAGTCTCTACATTTTCTTATTATATCAAAATTTTAATTCTTATATCATCAAGCCCATTTTTTTCTCTTATAGATTTACCTTTACTGAAAGGTTTTTTATTTTATTTTATTTTATTTTGTTTACGTTTTTGAGACAGGGTCTTGTTTATGTAGTTCAGGTTGGCCTCAAACTCACTATGCAGTCTGGGCTGGCCTCAAACTTTCAGTGATCTTCCTGCCTCCACATCCTTGATGAGACCTTTTTAAAGTACAGAAATTATATGGTTGAGAAAGACACATCAAAAAATATTTCAGGGCTGAGGGTATGGGTCAGTGGTAGAGTAGCTGTCCAGCATTGAGAGGTCCTGGATTCAATCACCAGCACCAAAAAACAAAAATATTTTGAAAAATACCAAAGGCTACTAGAAAGTCAAACTTTTTTCATAAATTAAGTACCTTCATACATCTGAACAATTAAAAAAACAAAGCTCTTTTAGTCTACAGAAAAACTGCACATATAGATTAAAAACGCCAGTAAGGATATACTGCTGTGGTCACAGTGGTCCACCTGAAGGGTTTTAAGTAAAAGAGTGAGATGATTACACTGGAGTTTCAAGAAGATCTCTGAAATGGTGAAGGTTCCAAACTCTTGGATTTTCATTATAAAATAAAGTAATTGTGGATTCAGCCTTTTACTTTTGTTAATAGAATCATTTACAAATAGTTGCTAAAAAGGATATGCTGATACCAAAAATGTAGCAAGGACTTAATCTTGGCAAAAAAGTTAATAATTCTGAATTGCATTTACTATATGAAAAATTCAAACCTTTCACTTAATTTGGTTCTTCTTTTGCCTCAAATTACTACCTGTCAAAATTTCTGGTAATGGAGAATCATTGGTAAATAGAATAAATCACAGAACATTAAGAATGTAGGAAGAGATCAGTTAAAGCACCCAGAACAATTTTTATCCCAAAATATGAGACTGTAGATGCAGAGAATATAAAATATTTGACAAGTTCTTACAGATGAGGCTTAGTCCTCCCAAACTCAGTATGGCCTAGTAAGTTAATAATCAGAAAATATTTACAACTCCACAGTCCATGATAGGTAGAGACATTTCTTCACAGACACTGAAATCTACGTGTCTCCAAATCATAGAACTTCTAAAAAAGTCCCCACTAAATTACAACAGAGCTCTGATGTCTAGATAAATCAAGTTCATCATAACAGGACAACTGGTACAGTATGAAAGCAACAGAAAGTGAACGCTCTTAAAAACAAGTACTGATGCAACAGCAAATAGAAACATGGAAACGACACCCAGGATTTGGAGGCAGATTTATTTATTGATTGGGATCATTCCCAGAATATCAGGCCCTCATATCTCGTGGTCCAGGGCTTATACAGGATAAGCAAGCAGGAAGTACAGAGGTAGAATGGCTTGTCAATTGGGAATAGGTTTATACAACATGCATCATAGTGACCAGCTACGTATGGATCACAGTAACCAGCCGTTTCTAGGAGACAGAAGTAACCCAAACTGGAACAGGAGCTATTTCCTGGGCAATAGAGAAACTGAAGTATACTGGCTGTGGGGCGCGAGTGGTGCTGGTGGGTGTTTCTGTTACACTTCCCCTCTCTTTTAGTTTCCTTGGCAAATCTTTACATGTGATCTTTTGAGACTAAGCCTAACTAGTACCAGTAACATTAGGTTTATCAGTGATCTTATGATATGCTCTAGCCAAGCTCTCCAACATTATATTACAGAGCTTTATTCCTAAATTGCTTTTTAGGAAGAGACATAATTTAGGCCTGTCTGTTCTGTAAACATTACTCTGGCAAGGGGTGAGGGAGTTAAGCAACGACTGGGGTAAGCAGCCTGAAAAGACACAAAAATCAAGAGGAATAGGTATG